TGTGCTGACATGTGGGGCCCATAGGGCAGTGAGGGAGAGAGGGGAGGTGGGTAGGAGAGCTGGGCTGGCGCAGCTGAACGGGCCAGGCCTAGGCGGGGGAAGAAGGGAGGCGAGGTGGGAGAAGGTGGGTCGGCCCGCAAGGAAAGGGAGGGGCTGCATAATCCTTTTGGATTCAAACTTAGACTTTCTTTTCAAACCAAAACAAATTTTGAACTATATTTTACTTCATAAATAGAGTAAAAACCGATTCACCTCTAAACCGAGATAAATAATTATTTTTCACTCAATAAAATTAATGCAAGCGGCATGAATGCAACACAAATAAAATTTTACTTATAACATATATTTTTCCTCCAACTATTATTTGGCCATAATCTTAATTTAATTCTAATAAGTTTTAGGAAATTGTATAATTTAAAATTTAGGGTGTACAAAGGAGCTCATTGCATATGACATTGAGTCATGTGACTAAGGTGGGAAAGATCAAGACAAGACTTGGCTTGATGGACCAGTTGCAAGCGTGAAGGGCAAGTTAGAGGCTTGGGAGAGATGGACCGCATGGCGGTGAAGCTTGAGCAAGACTTGGCTCCAATGGACAAAGGCAACGGTGAAGAGCAAGTGAGGTCAAGATCGATGAACCAATAAGGTCACGTGATGATATGAAGTGGATCATATCATTTGTTGATCAAGGTTGGTGCATGTGTTGCATCAACATTGGAGGAGATGAAATGGAATGCAAGGTAAAGGTATATTTGTAGGGCATTTTGTTTTACCGGTCATAGGTGTGTAGAGAAGTTTATGACCGGATTTAGGATAGATGACCATACTATCAAGATGGGCAAACTTGTTTGCATATCGGTCATCTAGTGCCACTCGAGTGATCTAACTTTGTATACGTGTTAGGATCGAGTGGTATGGTGAAATGAGTGACTAATCCTTTGAAAAATGGTTGTGAAAATGCTAACATACTTGCACATGATGGTGTACACTTGGTGGTGTTGGCACATTTGCAAAGGAAAAGAAGTTTGAGAAGTTTTGGAGAAACTTGAGTTGAAAAAGAGAAGTGATAGTTCTTGGATTAGAATTCTGCATTAATCCATTGTGCTTTGGATCAAATATGCATGTGGGATGTGTATCCCTCTGCATAAGCTTTCCAAAATGTCCAAGATCATCAAAATTGGACTCCGGAGCTAAGAGTTATGGTCGTTTTAGCAGTGAACACTCAGTGATCGGACTCTGGACCAGATGCAAGTCTAGTTAGTACCTATGAGTCGATCATTGTTCCTATGAGGGCTGATTTGGGACGCTGGCACTAGGGCACGATCGGACGCACTCATGCCACTGTTTCGAGCTTGGAACTGCTGAGTGAGAGCGATCGGATGCTGTGGTAAGTCCAGTTAGTGTTGAATGGACACGTTTGATCGATGAAAAACCTCTCTAGAACCTCTCTGTTCACGACCGGACGCTAGGTGATGGTGAGTTCGATCGATCAACCAAACATGGAGTTTGTTTGCGCACATTGGGAGCCATTGGCGCCCAATAGTAACATTCAAAAGGCTAGTACACATGGTGAGTATAGCATGACCGGACTCTGGACCGGACTCTGCACTTGCGCGTCCTGGTCACTACAGCAGCGAGTCCGGTCAGTGCGCAGAAATCAAGATGAAGGGGGTAACGGCTATTTTAGCCCTTGGGGCAATAAAGGATATGGTGGCCGGCCATTTGAGAGGCTGAGCACCTTGGGGATGTGTTGCCCTTGTATGTGCTTGGTTTGAAAGCCCTCTAACTCACTTTTGCTTGCAAGAGTGCGAATCGATTGCGAGTGAGTGATTCTAGTGCTATTGTATTGTGAGATTGCATCGAGTGGCACTAGGTGTTTGAGTTGCAAGCCGGTGCTACTTGTTACTCTTGGAGGTCACCACCTCCTAGATAGGCTTGTGGTGAGTTCTCCATCGTGAAGCACGCAAGAAGATTGTGCGGTGCTCTGGAGAAGGATTTGTGAGGGGTACCATGCTCACCCCGCGGGAGCCACGAAGAGCAACACTAGTAGAGCGTGTCGTTGAGCTACCCTCACTTTTGGGGTAGGTTCTTGCGGTGCCCAACGTGTGGGCTTGACTGGTGATGCCAATTTGCCACCGAACCACCAAGTGAGCGGTCGACATAACGGGACTAGCTTGGTGGCAACCAAGTGAACCTCAGGATAAAAATCATCGTGTCATCCTTGTCTTCCAGTTGGTGTGCTTTCCCCTTTACACAAGCTTGTATTTATATTTCATATATTGTGCTTGTGTAGTTGCTCTTGTAATTAGTTAGCTTGTGTAGCTAGCTAGTTACCTTCTTGCTTATGTGGTATAGAAGTAGCTTCCTTGTGTAACTAATTTACTTTTGTAGTAAATTAGTTGCCTTACTTAGTTTGTATAGCTAACTAAATTGAGCTCATTAATTTGGCTTGTGTAGCCTTATTATTGAGCATTACTAGTAAGCTTAGGAGCTTTGTGCTTTTGCTACTAGCATGTTTAGGAGCTCCCCGGTGCTTGAAGTACTAGTGGCATAGGTTTGTGTGACCTTTCCTAGAATTGGTTAGGTGAGCTCTAACTAGCCCGACATCTTAGTTGCTTGGTTAGGATCTTTTTAAAAGGTGCTTGAGAACTTAGATAGAGGGGTGTAGTCTTGGCTAGACCGATAGTTTTAATTCCGCATTTATTTTGGCTAGCCGGTGCGATTAAATTTAGAAAGGACTATTCACCCCCCTCTAGTCCACCATCACGACCCTATAGTTAGCTCGGTGCTAATCCTGAGGTTGCCTCGCCGCTGGTGGAGCCTTCCCCTCGTCAGAGAGGAGGAAGACGACGGGTGCGGTGGAGGAGCTCTCGGTGCCCCTCTCTCGGTTGCTCTGCTCTAGGTGCGGAGCAGGAGCGGATCGGTGAGGAACAAAATGATTTGTCTCGGATCGTCCTCCCCCCTCTGGGATCCGACCTATCCCTTATATACCAAGATAGGTCGGGTACATCGCGGTTTGGGGGATGAGCCTATGATCTACATGCGCTGGAGTTCAGGAGGGTCTTGCAGCGGCGCTCTATGGACCGTGGCGATGTCGTGGATCCAATGAAGCTCTGGGCGTTGTCCGACTGCTCTGTCCTGACACACTGAGTGTCAGGCTATGTCGGCTTAGACCGACCTCCCCTAGGTGCACCTTCTGGAGACTTCTTGGTGGCGAAGAAGGCCGGCTCGAGGGGTTGATGTGTGGGCTTAGGAACCCCTAAGCCCCTGGAGGCCACGGAGGCATTTGTCTTCTTGCGTCACGCCCCGTACGTGACCCTGTCGGATGAGTGGTTAACAGTGCCGCACTCGCAGGGCAGCGCCTAGGAACCCCTCGAGCCTTGATGGCTCAGGATGTGTCTTTTTGCGCTCGGGCGTTGGCTGGCGCCTAAGGTCGGGGGGAGGCTAAGGATCGGGTCCAGGCCCCTGTTGATCGGGAGCCCTAGGCTCGGGCGAGCCCCCAAGTGTTGAGTAGAGGCGGCAGACTTACTCGGGCTCGGCCCGATCCCCTGGCCTGAGGGTGCGCTCGAGCGTACCCGATAGGTATAGCCCCTGAGCCCCCGGACGGTCCTAGTAGGGTCAGTCGGGGGTATCTTGGTCGGGAACCCTCGATCCCGAGGCTTAACATACCTATATGTTAAGATCTCGTCAACTCCATTGCATCGTTGTAGGTACTTTACGGAGAAACTAATGCCCTAATTTGTCCTTTCAGGATATAGTACCATGTCTGCAAGCAATTGAACAAAAGACTTATCTACTCTCCGATGCACATTAACGAGAAACAACTGTTCGGTTGGCTGGTTCGTTTTGTTGCTGGTTCGTGAAGAAGTACTGTTGGCTGGTTTGTATGAGAGAAAAATATTGTTCCGGCTGAAAATTTACGATCGTTTATGACAAACCACAGCCAAACAAACAGGCTAAAAGTCGTATGTGCTATTATATAGTGTACGTACTTTATGAAGAAACTAATGTCATGACTGTCCTTGCAGGATATAGTAACATGATGGAACATTCTAGACGATCATGCTAATCTTAAGCACTTGACCGTGGAAGAGAAGCCCGTAGCCCGGAAACAGCCGCACAAACGAACTTAAGTATCAGGCGGCAACGTACTTGTATGGGCATGAAGTGGGTCAACGATAATCAGCCTATTCGGTTAGCTGGTTCGTATGTTTGCTGGTTCGTTTACGTGAGAGAGAAGTACTGTTGGTTGGTTCATGTGAACAGTATTTCTGTGAGAGGGCTGGCCAGCCCAGCCAGCCAGCCGCTCCCGGCCGAATGGGGCGAATGGGTGTATCCTTACCCCCTATCGCTTCGAGTAAGTCAAAAGTCTAGTTCAAATGTATATATAGCTACTAGGATCACCCTTTTCATATTTCAAGATTTGAAACTTGTATTGTTTGAATGGTGTAGTCCGGACACCAGTGGCCACTGACTTGTATTTCTAATGAACTCTTTGGATATTCCAAAAGAAGGGTACAAGGACTTTGAAAGCATATTGAGCTTGTAAGTGACATGACTTATTCTTTTACATTTAGCAGACGTGTTTGAATTTGTCGTTGACTCCCATGATTTTCGTACAACGTTTACAGGATATACCTCGAGGATCCCGAATCCCTCGATCTCAGAACTGAGAAGAAGTATGGCAATGGAATAAGCATCAGTCGTAACTTCTCGGTACGTATCAAAAGTCATATGTCCTATTATATCATGCATGCTCTATGTGTTTTAACCAAATATGTATTAGTAGTAAACATGCTCATGCATTGCTACGGAAGAAAAATCCGTTTTAAGAGAAATGAGGACAAGAATGTTGCATATCTATTTATTTTTCACACTTTCTAAAGAGAAACTATAATTTATTTTATGAAGACCACGATGTCTATAATATATATAAGTTAATATATTGGCAATATAATATTATATGTGTTTCTCTGTGGCTAGCTGACTAAAAAAATAAATTAGTCTGTAGCCGGAGCAGAACCAGCCGTCCGACCCGAGACGCACCCACCCTTCCGTCCCACCCAACCCACTCCATCCGGTATCAGGTCGCCACTTTCCCTCGGCTCGAGCAAACGTCTCAGCCGGCACGCGACCTGGTCCTGCGCCCCCAAATTGCGCCGTTTCGCATTGACCATTTGGAAACCCCCAGATCCAGATCCCCGTAGCCTGGTTCTTTCGCTGCAAGATGCGCCACCGGAGATCCCGGGCCCTCCCCTGCTGGCGCCACCACCCGTGGCCACCGGAGCCGACGTGGACGAGGAGGAGCCGCTGCTCGTCATCGTACCGCCGGCAGTAGCCCCTCCTCCTCCGGGGAAGTTGAGCACGTCCGTGGCGCCCTTCGTGGCGCCCTTCATGGCGAATGCGGCGTGGTCGTAGGCCCTGGCGGCCTCCTCGAAGGTGCCGTGCCAGACGCGGGAGCCGCCGCGCTCCGGGTCCCTTCGCAGCCCGGCTTCGTCGCTTGTAGCCTCTCAATCCCCATTCGTGCTGGAGGATGAGACTCGATCCTGAGGTGAGCAGCCGTGCGAAACTCCGTCTCTCGAATCTCGATCATCCTCGGGTTTTGATTCACTTAGGTTTTTGTTTCATTGTTTATTTAGCGTTAGATCCTGTCCGGCATTAGCTCAGTCCGTCCTGTCTCATTTGCCTGTCAGATCGAGCCGCCGCCGCACCCGTGGTCATCATCTCCGATCTGCCGGCGACGTCTGTTCCTCCCAACAGCAGCTTGGCTTCACTATCCTCCGGGTTAGCGTCCTCTGTCCCGTACAAAAGGGCTGACTCGTCGGTTCGCCGGTAATATGTTCAACCGGCCACCACTATCCGCTTGTCTGATTAGCCATCTGTATTTTGGTAGCTGTTGGTGACTCCCGTAGATTGAAATATTGTTTATTGTTGCAGATCTATTGGCCACATTAGCCAGAGTGCTTAGGTTTGTAGATCCTCGATTTTAGGTTGTGTCAGGTGTACTGTTTTCTAAACCAAATTCATGAATGTCAGATCCCTTGTTTAGTAAATTCCTATGTTTATACTACAAAATATCGTAACTATTGTATGCACTAAATCAGTATACATTAATCTTATGGTAATAAGCATTGCTGCCTTACGCTAATTATCATGATTTACTGCTCAGACATTTGAAGCAGTCACGTGTTTGTCCATTCTTCACACATTATTAGTATCCTGTAGTTGTTGCATTTTGATTTTCTTGGTAACTAATCACTCTGTCATTGTGTATTTTCTACTCTTCACCCTATGGGCAGATTGTCATTTTTGTTTTGTTATTCTAGCAGATCTGTTGGTCGCTTGAGCATCCATCACAAATAGAACTAAAGAGGTGTCTGTCAGGTGTCGTTGTATATATCTTCTAAGAAAATATTTTGTGGATAGGCAGTGAGATGGACCAGTGCTTTATAGTCTTTCATGCAACGGCAGGTAATTGTTGCCTTTTCCTCTTTTTGATATAGAACTGCTTACTAGTAAAATTGGTCCTATGCCTGAACTGCTAATGACTCGTACATAAGGAATACAGAGTAGTTCATTAAAAAATTCTTGTATCTCACTGTTCTTCGATTACAAAGGTCGTCTAATCAGAATAGAGTATAGTGATTCATATATAAAGGACATATATATTGTAATATATCATTTGAGGCAAAATTTTGGTTACTCCCTAACTAAATTATTAATTCAAATTATTGTAATTATTACTTAACAGCCTATTGGACTCCTCATTTGAGTAGCATCAGAATACCATGACCCTAAATTGTGGTAGCTCCCTATCTTCATTATGGTAATTTCGACCATCCTTATTAATTTCAACCATAGTCCAAAATTCTCGTAGATACTTATATTCATAGTACCCATTTCTCGTAAATACAAGTGTAAGTTATGTTGAAAGAAATTCATAATATATAATTCTCGTAAATATTATTAGTGAAATTCTTGTAAATATTGTTAGTATTGCGGTAAACACAATTCTCATAAATATTATGTAACTTATACTGAAGTTACAGTAATTTCAATCATTGTTGTTAATTTTTATTGTCAACCATAGTCCAAAATTCTCGTAAATACTTATATTCATAGTACCCATTTCTTGTAAATATCAATGTAAGTTTGTCGAAGGAAAGTTCATAATATAAAATTCTCATAAATATTCTCGTAAATATGATTATGCTCAGGCTCCATTTTGTGTTTTCTTAACATATTTTTTGTTTACGTCAATAAAAAAAGATCAATCTTGAGCCAGTTTATCCATACATGTTCACGTTAAGAATCATATTATTGAAGATTGTTCATATTTTTTTTATGATTTCAGGCAATTAGAGTTCCTAGCAGAAGCTGCTTATTCAGAGTGCAGCAATCAGGCATGACCGATTGAGGTTGCATGTGTTTGAGAAGTGCCGAATAGAATGTGCAAGAAAAGCAACGAATTTTAGATGGTGTAATGTTCAGTTACCTTTTGAGATGGCACTGGGGGGGATGGCATGTTGTATTTTGTGTACTGTATCAAATACTTGTTATTTCGCTCTCTTCTTGTTAACGAGCCGGCACTTTCTCCGGTGGGTTGGAGAGTGCGGCGGTCGATACCGGCAGTGGACCAGCTGCAGCAAAGGCCTCGACGATGGGCCTGAGGTCGGCGTGGCTGTTCTGTGGGGAGTAGTCACTGCTGGTGACGACGAGCTCACCGACGCAGTACATGTCCGAGGAGGCCACGGGCCTTGTCCGAGCGTGGATGGCGCGAACTCCGAGTAGACCGAGCTTCCCCTTCACTGGCACGCGAGCAGGCCGGTGTGCAGCTCATTGAGCTCATCTCCTACGCAAACACACATTGGAAATCAACGGAGTCGACAAGGTCGTCTGCTCCTTGACCATCGTCCTCTCGCTGTCGAAGTTGAGCGTGGTGGGCCCAATGGTCGGTGGTGTTCTGCTCAGAGCACCAGCCCCCCTGCGCGGCGAGGCGAGCTTGGCCCTCGTGGACGGAACGGATCGGGCATGCGGACGATGAGCGGGTGGTGGCTCGGGAGCAGCCTGGCACCGACGATGACGGGGACGGGGTAGGCTGGGACGCTGGGTCGAGGCGGTTGACGTGGACGCCGAGTTGGAACTTGTTGGAGAGCACGTGATCGGCCTCCGCAAGCGGACGCATGACGTACATGGAGTGCTAGGTCTCAGACCCGACGTAGAGCTTGCCGTGCCTGGGCAACAAAAGTTCTCCGTCCAGTTCCGCTGGAAAGATGTCCGTCACCTGCAGCACCGCTGTCCGATGCTCACCTACGGGCTTGACGACATTGGTCTTCATGTCATCCAGGAGCTTCAGGAACGACAGTGTCGTCGTGTTTACACCTGGATTTGCAGCCGACAGTCAAAACCAGGTCGTGGAGATTGTTTAGTCAGAACTCAAATCAAAGAGAGGAAATATTCTTGCTTTGGGGAGTATATATTTGATTTCGTTATATAGTACATGGCATAATCGAGTCTTATTGGATTAGGATTAGAGTCACAACAAACACTGCATATGGAAAAGAGAAAAAAGATGGGCATAATCGAGTCTTATTGGATTAGGATTAGACTCACCAACAAACGGCGTATGGAAAAGAGAAAAAAGATGACACACGGATCGCCTATAGGAACCAACGTTAAGAAACTCTTCATGGTTTAATATTAGATTAGATATATGCCCGTGCGTTATACGGGACCTCGAACATCGCCCACAGTTATAACGGTTTTTACTTTTAGAAAATAATTAAAAGCTAATAAACGGTAGCCCTTGTTTTTTTGTTCGCATATTTTTCCCCTTTTTTTCTCAGTTCGGACGCGTGTTTATTATACCCTACCTCATAGATATCCAGCACAACAGAAAAAAATTCAGATATGTTAATAAACAAAGTCTGGCTGAATCTACAAATTGACAGAGACCATGACATCTAAAAATGACACGTAGGCCATTTGCAACAATGAAGGCCGTAACCAAACCGTGATGCAACTGGGAGGGGAACGGTTAGGTAGAAGAGATATACTTGTATGTAGTATTTATTAATTAGATATACTCCAGAACCAATGCATGTCATATAAAAAAGAGGGCTGTAGACAAACGGGAACATAAACAATTTCAGTTTTTACATTCATAGAGTTAGTTAGGGGGATGATGGATACAAAAAAATAGCCGAAAATTTTGTCTCTTTATTATTAGGTATAGATATATCATGCAGTGTGCCAAACAACCTATAGAGACACTATTATGTGAATTCTTCATTTGTGAGTACCTCACAGAGTCTGAGAAATTCAGCATCAGCTAAAGAGAGCTAGTCAATGGACAAAACTGGTGGGCAAAGAGACACGTCACTGAGAACGATATAATGAGATGTCTAGCGGACATATGTTCATTTGTCATGCACCATTGTGTGTATGAAAAGGGAGACTACTTCAACCGCGAGAGCGACTACGCATGGATGACAAGTACGAGAACATTAGAAACTGTCCGGAGAGGCTAACGCTAGGGGATTACAAGATGGCTCCTGAGATTTTTTATGACTACAAAAAACATTTGAAGTGTATATGTAACTTGTTGTTCGTGCTACGGTAAGGACCAGACACGAATGGGATATATGTATATATACGTGTGTTCTCTGCATGCGTTCTCAATATATATTGTCTGTGTTTAAATTGGGAAAACAAAATTCGAATTCAAATTCAAATAAAATGGCTATTTTTAATGGAAAATGATTAACGGAGGCGGGTATATTAATTAAAAAGGAGCCACCTCCATTAATCTATTAGTGGAGGAGGACACCTTAGTGCTGCCGCCTCCGTTAATATTTATTAATGTATGCGGTCTTCTTACAATGACAACCTGCATTAATGGTAAAGCGCCGGCCTCCATAAAGCTACATTAATGCAGGTTTTTTGGAGGTTGCCCGCCTCCCATTAACCCAAAATGCATGCCTGCAATAAGATTTGTGTAGTAGTGACTAGCACTATCCAGACACCGATCAAAAGAAAGAGCTGGAACCCCATTATTAATTGCATCAGTTGGATAGATAGCTAGATAGACTAGAGATTGGACACTCATCATAAATAAATGCAACCTAGCAAGATTACCACCATTCATGGTGATCCATCTGATTTAAATTAATATAGGCGACCACATAATGTGTTGAAATGTGGCAACCTACCAAAATACAGTTGATCAAACGAAGATTTGGTATATCTTCAAAAGAAAAATGTTTTCATAATATACGTCGAATATTTCTGAGACCATAAAGATTACAGATGTCACTAGGAGAGTAGCATTTTCCCACATACGAGTTAGGATAGAAATGTAGCAGCCCTACTCATCCTTTGAGTAAACGACAATTATGTTGGGATATCACAAAGTGTGCTAATAAAACCAACAATGCTTTCCTGTCGAAAACATCAATTGATGGTGCTAATTGCAAAGGCAATAAGCTTCATTTCATTTTTGGACTTGTGTCACCGAACTTTGGTAGTGCCAGTAGTGTGTTCAATCTCGTGAAGCTCTCCAAGGACCTTTCATCTCCACTTATATTTGATTCACTTCCATCATCCACATCTTCAGGTATTACACTTCTATTATGGAGCTTGGGCTTCCTTGACTGAGCTTGTGCCCTTTGACTTGATCCAGTTCCCTTGCTAGTAACAGAAGACACTGATAAGCCAGTAGCAATGTCCTCTACGTCGAGAAAAAGACATATCGTTGCACAATCATCAGTTTTGGACGTTGGATATTTAAACCTCCATGCCTGATTTGCTAAATCAACAATAGAACGAGCTGCAGATGAACGCTCAGAACATGAAGCAACCACATCCATGACTTCCTGATTGGTCAAGACATCCCACACCTATAGGCAGAGAGTGCATATTAGAGCAATTTGGGCTCAAGTAGTTCACTTGCGAATCAAGTAGTGCATATTTGAGTTTCCATATATTGAAATCAGATAACCTATTGGAAAGCACATAATTAACATAAGCACCAATGTTTTCATTACCCCATCTGTAGCAAGGATAATGAATTCATCCTTCTTACTGATTTGTCTATAGGTGACTTCAGGCACACAGATTAACCCGAAATCCTTTAGACAGAAATCACCAAAAGCGCGTGCCATTGCTAGACCAGGGGAGTTACAATTAGGAAGCCAAAGGCGAGATACATCTGGTTCATCCCGATGAGCAAAAACCCTTCCGTTACATCGTTTGATTCTCCTTGCTTCTCCTACAAAATAATATATTGCATTATTCTGAGTTTTCGCCATTATGATAATGTCAAATTACGGACTCTGGAATGGAATTGAATGAGCACTTAACAGTGTTGAGTGATAAGTCAATACACATCGCTAGTGCAATTGTACATAAATAAACATATAATATATAGGACCTATTATTCAAACATGTAATAAAAATATAAAATTTATTTTCTTTTAAATTAAGAATCCCAAAAGTTCATACATGGGGACAGGCCCCGTTTTATCGACGAGGACACTAAACTTTATTCGGATGAGAACATCACCACTTTTAATATACACAACTAACACACCTCACCTTACTATGTAAGGACAAATTAATAAGGCTCGAGCACGATAATTAAATATCTTGGTGACATTTTTCCTAAGTATCTTTTTGGTGATTGTGAGAATAGATTGCTACCTAATGATATTATTGTTCTTAGTAACTATGTAGAGCACTAGGATGTATTTGGAGAGAGACATCCAGCCAGAGAAGATCAGTATGGGTGTCAAGCCAAGTTGAAGGCTAATCCATATTATGTTTGAGTCAACCTCAGATTTCTAGAGCAATCCGTACTAAAATTGTCATCCAAATTGCATATGGACTTCTTTTCAATGGTCTAGATGTGTGCAAAAAGTTAAGGAGACAAGATTTCCAATGACACTGATCTCATGTCAAAATTCCTTCGAAGTCAATAGGAGTCTTTGATAAAATGGGACGTATAGAATATGTCGAGATGTTGTGTCACCATATATTGGACAGTTGGGCCCATATATCGTGTCGGAGTCTATTAGGCATGCGTGTTGAGGTCCTTGGCTGCCCCTAACACTTTTATATTCAGTAGTTGTCTCCCAAGTTAAGATTTAGGTTTGCTAAGATTAATATTTCATTGAACAATTTCGCCATTCATCGGTTCATAAAACACCAACTTCAAGTGAAGTTTTTTCAGCAAATTCAGTTGCGTTAGTTTTCTTTGATTCGCAGATAGAGATTAACCTTCAGGGTAAGGTTAACTGGACAGTGCACGGTTGATAACTAGATGATACTTAATGTCGTGACTACAGGGTTCAGTTTTTTGTGATTGAAAGCCGAATCATGTTTCTCAGTTCTCCACCATTTCGAGAGTTATTCTCATGTAAGGAAGGATGAAGCACCCTATTCCTATCAGATTTACGGATCAAAATCTCAATGATGATATAATAACCGAGGAAAACATATATGATCTCTCAAGTGCTCGATGGGGTTCACTAGTGGTTATAGACTAGACTATGCTAATACAAGTTGCCATTCCCTTTACATGTTTCCAACAACTTTGGATACTTTCTTGTTTATAACAGGCCTTTCATCAGAAGATGACTCGAAGGCCTTCGGTGAGGTTCTCCGGAGAAAAGCCTAAGCTTAGGTAGGTGATGGCTAAGCTGTCTGGAGCAACGCATGGAGCTTCGCTGCTGGGTGGAATGTGGATGAAAGCCACCATATAATCGGGAACTAAGCCTATTCTGCTTCCATATAAATAGAGGGACTCAGTACATAATTGAGCAAGAGAACAGATCGATAAAAACCTAATTTTCCATCAAGCATCGCAAACATCTTTGTCTAAGATTGGTGGAGGTCTTTGATTGCTTCTTAAAGTAACTCCAAGAGTTTCTCTGTATCCTTCCTACAATTTATTTAATTATATTAGATCTCCAAATATTTCCTTCCTCTATTCCAAATTTCTTGCTAGCTAAAGATAAAAAGCGGAATTGACTCTCTAGAGTGTGCATAAGATGTAAAAAATTATTGGAGGATGGAAAGACATAGAGAGCGATTTGTATTCAAATAACTCTCGAAATGATAATTTAGAGGGTGAGTTTAAGAAAGACTATTGGAGATACTCTTAGTTTTAGAAATTGCTTTATTTTGTGTAGCGAAATTCTTTCATTACCTTCACCATCAGTTCAGTAGTTAATAAGTCCTTTGGCAAAGGTTGTAGTTGACGAAGACACATGGATCCCAACAAAGCTAAGTTAGTGCTCAAGTTTATTCTTTCTTTCAGCTCACTGTTTTGTTGCTGGTCATATGCGTTGTTCTTTGGACCATGGGTTTTCGTTTCTTTTAGCCATAGGGTTTCGTTGGGGAGGCCATAATGGGTATAGCCCCTAGAACATAGGAAATTCTAGCTCGCCGTATAACTAGTTGCAGGAAACATGTTTGATAAAGTGTTACTATGTAACTGCTTTGGAATTACAACCTGATATCGCAAAAAATGCTATATATTCTACTGTTCCAAAATGTAAGCCATTTCAGTTTATATTTAGTTAAGCTTATATGACTTTTACCAAGTTATAACTACAAAAAATATATTAAAATCTACAATATAAAATAAATGCACTATCAAAAGAATTTCAGTGGATTTTATAATACTAATTTGATGTTTCAGACGTTGGTGCACTTTTCTACAAATTTGATCAAAGTTAAAAAAAATGGCTTAGAATAAAATCAAAATGACCTATGTTTGGGAATCAAGGGAGTATAGAATTTAAAAATAAGATGAGTCTATAAATTGTTGTTGGTAAGCATGCCTAGTTCGAAGCTTGAAATTGCTGAAAAAATTGGAGAACATATAAGAGAAGTGTGATTTAACCTGTAACAGGACCTTGGGCATGATACAAGCAAGGTACATGTAAGTAGGAAAATGACGTTGTAGAAAACCCTTTTAATACTCATACTTTTATTTTTTTCATGTTCCTAAAGAAATAAACATATGCTTTTAAGCTAGTTATCCAATAACATATGTTTTTTCTAACACCAAGTGTCGTTCCACTCAAATGAATAAATCATTTAGAAAGAGAGACAGAATATTTGTGAAGATACCAGTTCTACTACTACACAAAATCATTCTGAAATCAAAATATGTGGAAGATTTTACAGATTCAAGAGAGACATGACTTATTTTGTTATTAATATTTTTGGATAATCATGTATAGACGAGATGTTATGGTTGACAAAAAACCACCGGTGCAGATAATATGTGCCAGACATGTTGGATTGATCGAGTCCCATGATCGGAAATTTCATCCGCAATCTAGCAAGTCTCTAAGATAGGTTATAATCTCTAAATTATGGTCAGACGTCTCCATATCCTATTAGCTGGTCTATTAAAATTTAGTTTCTATCATGTGTGGCAGGCTGGCAGATGCACATCGTTGCCACTTGACAATTGAGCAAATAATAAGTATCCATTATCTGTCTCCTCCCCCCTTATTGTTACCCTCTCCTAACAATGGTAGCTACCTAGAAACAACTGTAGAACCGGTCAAGCTTCACATTGGAACTGAAAAGGAAACAGAAGACACATATTTTAAATTTTGGAAGTGACAGAGAGTTACTTGGATGATCGGGTTTCAAATCAACTGTCAATTGATGAGCAACCAAACGGCCGTTTTGATCTCTGGTTCCTAATACAGCCCTAGAGTCACCTAAGTTCCCAACAATAAGATCCTGGCCCTGATAATAAGAAGGCAAAGCTTTAAATTATAGACATATTAAATTCTCATGTAATAGTAGTACAGACCACTTTTTTATAGGTAAATGAGCAACCAAGTTACCTGCTTGATTAAAGTAACTGCTGTACTTCCACTGCAAATGCTATCGATATTCCGATGTAATTTAAGTTCTTTATCTGTTACCCTAAAAGCCTTTCGGAATGAATCTTTCATTGAGAAAAAAGAATTCCGACGTTCTAATTTCTGTACAGACATTGGAGACTTGTCTTCTTCATCTGCGTACGGAGATAAAGTTTCTTCTAGAATTGAGCCATCTGAATTGCAAATGGGGCTCTCCCCAAAGTCATCATATATCAAATCACGCAGCTTCGAAGGGAGAGTATCTCTAACTTTCCTTGCTACAATATGGCCATGCGGACCATGGCCATCAAAAACTCCACAAAAAACCATGTCTGACCTTCCATTAAAATTCTGTACATAATATGCAACAATATCTCCAAGGAGTTATGATCAAATGTAAAGAGACTACAAATATATAAGATAAAAATTTGGAAACAGGCAAATATAATTATTCATTTAAAGGCGCCATTGTCAAAGGTGGAGTATAACTTAATGAAAAATTTTCACTCTATTTTTCTAATTACATTTCATGCTTATGCAGGTCATGCTTTTATCACTACTCCCTCTGTTTTTATTTACATGTCATATTAGGTTTGTCCTAAGTCAAATATTTGTATCTTTGACTATCGGTTTCAAAAAAGTTTTATAGTAGATTCATTAGATAAGATTAATGTTCTAAGATTCACTATGATTTTTTTTTCATTATATATAATTCATAGGTTGTAAAACTATATGGATTTTTTGAAATGATGGTCAAATATATAGTAATGTTTGATTTACAATAAACCTAATGTGACATGTAAAAAAGAATGGAGGAAGTACTACGCAAACTAGTTTTAGAGGTGTATTTGTTTTAGACCCTCCATGGAAAGCGATTCCTAGGGTTGGTGTACCAACCACCCCTAGAAATTGAAGCATTTCAAGGGACCTTAGATAATGTGGACCACCTTAGAAATATATTAGTGCTGCACATAATTTATAACTTGTATAAATGAAGTGGCATTAAGACAAACTTTATGTTAAAATTGAAGAACGTGATAACTATTTTTGAGATAGCATAGTGGCCCATACATATGTTTCAAGTATTCAAAAGTTCAAGTTACAATTTTTTAATTAGTTGAGCAACCGTGGATTGACAAATGCTATATACTAAGTTGCAGTGCTCCACAAGATCGAAAATTTCACCAGATTTCAAGGAAAACTTGACAATACTTCCAAGAAGAGAGTGGTGCCCAAAGGGTCACCATTGTTAGAACCAACATATGCTTGCCAAGATTTTTAGCCAATACATACAGGCACCTCACTAGCACGCAAATGGCAGGAACAAACAAACCCACAAAACTCGTCGAACTTGCATCACCACCACACACAACCTAAGGCTAACGCATGCTACAACTATAGCCAGTCACGCACAGCCCACATTGCCACACACAATGGTCATTAGCCATCTGTCACCTGTGGTCTGTGGACACCATCCATTTTCCTGGCTACTTTTTTTTTAAGAACCGTCCTAGCTAGCAAGTATGAAGTTACACAGACGTGGGCAAACCAACCAATGGCGCAGCTTTACCACAGTGTGGCCACTTGACGCAAAATTCACCACATGATGCATGCCAGCCACTCACAGCTGTTGCTGACACTAGGCCGTGAGTAGCACCACAGCATGCACCACAACCTCAATTCTAGAACCTAACAGGACTGAGTCAGATCCATAAGCGCCGCAACGATAGACGTTGCAGGCCGAGATTTGGTTGTCGCTAGCTAGCCCATCCCCGGATCCCCATGCTGCACGGTGAATTTTTTGTGCATGACACCAGCACCTTGCCGCTAGACCCAACTGCGCATTGTGATGGCTTCAGGGAGAAGAGGCCCCCTCCTCCACCCTCTCTGCAGCTCTCCCAATTTTTGGTGGGTTGCCCTAGCTATGGCGAGGCACAGAGGGGGCTGGCAGCTGTTTAAACCTCAACCATTTAATTATGAAACTTCAAGAAATATGTACTTGATCCGGTCATAGGAAGTTTGTTTTTGACATAACACAATCTACAAAATACAACTTTGACAACTAATTTATATATATTATATTTATTGACATAGAAACATAATTATTCTGAAGCTACTTTTTGATATACCAGCTTTAAATGTTTAAATTCTACTCACAACAGACAACTATGAATCAATACTTAGATATTTTTGTCTGCACACATCCCAAAGCATAATCTTTTTTACTACATTAGTAATAAATAAGGATATTATTTCCAGATGATCAAATCACAAGTGTTTTTTTTTATAAAGCAATATATTGTTTGCAATTTCCAAACGTCTAAGCCTACAAAGTTAATTGAAACTCTATGATGTTGCTCCATCCTTAGTGCTAAACCATCCTTTGAATTGTTCCTTTTAAAATGTTGATTGATACATTAGATTGTATTTTTAGGAAAAAAGAAAAATCAAACAGAGACTCCAAGAGAACACAATGAGAAATCCAAAATTCACTATTTGCTTTATGGTTGTGCAAGGAGGAGGAAGAATAATGTTTTGGTGTTGCAGTCTCTACTAGCATTCTTTATTTAAGTTGGAACACTGAACATTTGATACGAACAAAAAGTATTATGCCCACTCCAAGATGAGTCATCTCTCCTTTGCCTTCCGTGGAGCCTCTAGTAGCACATCTAAGACAATGATGGGTTAACCACCTATACGGGCAAGGAACAGCCAAAGTGTAGAAATAGGATAAGGTAGCACTGTAGCAGGCAAAGCCAATTTAATATGTTCCAAGTGGAAGTGCACGCTGATGTATGCATTTGAAGCATCAAAACTAACAAAAGATTTGAACCTTGTTCCTACACGACATGAACAAATCGGTCAAGCACTTGCCAGCTATCTTCATTTTTTCACCTCTTTAAAGAAATGATGAAAAAATAAAAAGCAATCAAACATAGTAGACAATGGCATCAACTCTGTATTAGCAAACCACATGACAAAAACCAGGAAAAGATGATTTCTTGCATATCAACGTTGCTTAGTTTGCAAATATCATTATATAGTACGAAAAGAAAAAGATTGATAAGCCATGCCAACTCATTGAATTGGTTCTTCCAAAATACATCACATTTCAAGAAACTGAATTGTTTTTACTATAGAATTCTATCCTAGGAAGATAAAATGGTGCGCAGCTCAACACATCAAAATCTTAATGTCTGTAGCTTATCCAAATAAATACATTGATTTACTCTCGATAATCCAAGGCAGATCTTGACAACTATGATTATTTCAGATTAAAATAATAGAGAGAGTAAAAAAAAGGGAAACCAAGACATAAATTAGAGATAGGTCTCACTATTACATACATACCTACCTACTAGGAAGCCATGTCGTCTTTGTCAGCAACCTTCTTACATTGTTATGTTAACAAACATGATACATTGCCCATCCTGTCGGTGATATGTATCTAGGGTACCTCACCGTATGGAAAACAACCCAAAGGGGATGAGGTACACCAAGCAAGCTACACAAGAAGCCCAAACCAGACGGGGTACCTTATCTACTTGAAAGACAAGGCACAACAACATGTATTTAGAAACCAACTCTATCTTAGGAAACCCACATATAAACCGATCATGACTCTATCTATAACCCCACCCCCGGCCCTGGACTATATAATGATGGGGTGAGGAGCCCCCGATCGGTATCTGAACACAAGTTCATAGCAACCCCAGGCAAGTAGCTAGCCATCAGTGCCCTTGTAAACTTGAGCACGTGAGAATAAGAGATCTACTCCAAACTGGACGTTGGGTACCACGTACCTGAACTAGTATAAATTTGCATCTCATGTGCTGCCCTTTTGATTCCCTATGTGTGATACTGCTGATCTTCATTGCCGGAGCAAATAATTCTGACACACCCCATTCCTAGTAATCCTCCTAGATATACCGCCTCCTACTGCAACTTGCCATCTCCTCCAAATCCTCAAAGTCATACCTTCACTATTGCGGCGAGTTGTTGCTCCATCTCTAGGCATGACACAATTTAAAGTGGGCACCACATCTTGCACATAATCAAGCTACATGCTGCCCCACCATCCAAAGGCATAGCATCACACACCTCGATTAGAACCAAAGCATCACTACCCTATGCTTCTATTGCAGTTCTACCCAAGATCCCATGTCGCATGAGGGAAACCACAATGGAACCCACATGACTAGTCCATAGCTACTATTATTTTCTCACAATATTCAGCCCATAAGTAGTCTATAATGAGGGTCCCACTAGAGACAAAAAAGCCCCCTTCCATCCTTCCAGCCAACAAGAGAGAGAGAGAGAGAGAGGAGTAGGAAACAATAGTATTTTTATTTCTTATCGGTAGTCCATAATCTTAGGGGTAGCTTTTGCTATGGACTACTCTATTGACATGTTTTACAATGTTTGAGCTACCTGGTAGGGAATATTTTAGTCCTATGGACTACTCTTATTGCTACATTGTGGTTGCTCTAAGGTGCCTCCCAATATTTACCTTTGCATAAGAAATAGGTGGTGGTGGCGGTGATCCCAATCGTGACCGTATACAAGAAGGGGTAGGATAGTTGGCCAGCACAGATGAAGACATGCCAAGGTGCAGTGAAAGTGGCTAAATACAAAGATAAAAAGGTTAGATGGGGAGTGGTCAAGAGTAGTGTTCTGGTGCATCCAACAAGGAAGGCAGGGAGGGGGAACAATATGAGAGGCATGGAGAAACATTAGATGTGCATAGTTTGGTGATGCATGTTTTTTTGCTACATTGTCTGGAAGCATCCATTCTTTAGAGTTTAAACAAACCAGTTCATTATGCAATAGCATAAAGTCTAGAAAACAAGGTAAACAAAGAACAATGATTTGTTACATCCAACCATTTCTTAATTTGAAGATATCACTATGCTTGTAGGGAAAATATGAAGATTGGTAAGCCATATCGAGTTTGTGTGTCAATGATTTATTTCTATTAAGACATATCACATTTTAGGAACTTGAATTGTTTCCACTATGCATGCTTTCTCAAAATGTGAAATGGTGGGCAGATCAGCACATTGGATTCACACTATTTGTTTTCTAGTTTGGCTTATCCTATTAAAACCATGGATTCTCTAAAAATAAAAGGTGTATCTAGATAGCAATGAACATTGCTAATTATACAAAATGAGAGAGTAAAAAAACAATAAAAGAACTTGCACCAAGGATACTCTTACAGAGATAGGCATCATATTTGGTGCCCTTCCTTCCCTGGCACAAAAATAGTCAAGCCACATCATCTACTTCATTCCTTGTGATCTCCTAGGCACCTACTCAATCCATCTTCCAATTAAACCTTGGACCCCACCCCTACTACCATGGTAAGTCACACATTCGGCATGACATTGGTAGTGCTCACACAACATATGGTATAGGCAGTCGAAGCACCCAATGCCTCCACCACCAAATGGTAGTGTCTTCATATGCACTATAATTTGTAGCCACTATTGTCGTGCTATCTTAATTGATCAACTCACTAGTTTTTGCTTCACCCAATACCCATGCCACTCGAGATCACCTCCCTATGTCAGTTTGCTACCCAAGATTCTAGCTGGAGAAAGCATTAGCAGTGGTGCTTCTTATTGTGACCACTTCAAAAAAAGAGAGGGGTAAGAACTGACTAGAAAAGGCAAAAACACATCAAAAGGTCGTGGTGCATGAGGCTAAAAAAGGGGGGTAGCTAGCATGGAGAATGGAGAAGAATAGGTTGGTGGTGGATCCGATGGTGATAATAGATATGGAAAATACTGCAATGAGAGAGGAGGAACAAGTGGCTGTGCGCAGTTTTAGCGATGCATATTTTGGAGCTACAATTTCTACAATCTTTCTATTTTTCAAAGTTTGAACATATATTGACCATTTCATCAAGAAAGGCTAGGAAAAATAGTAAACAATGACATCATTTCTATATTAGCAAAAAACATAACTAAGGATGATAAAACTCTAAGGCCTTGTTTGGATGTAGGCAGATTCGCATCAATCCACATGTGTTGGGGTGGATTAGAGTGGAACTTGATCTAACTTCCACTCCAATCCACTCCAACACAACATCCAAACAAGGCCTAAAGGATGATTTGTTACATCCCCTGATTGCTTAGTTTACAACAATAGCCATGATAACAGAGAAAATGAGGATTGATGACCAACACTGACTCTATGTCATCAATTGTTTCCATCAAGATAAATCACTTAAGGAAATTGAATTGTTTCAATATATAGTATTATCCTCAGAAAATGAAAGGTTGGATGGCTGCACACAATTGGATTCTTAATTTCTAGTTCAATATACCTTATTATATGCATGTATTTGTTCTTGATACTTAAAGATGCATCTCAATGATAACGAACTTTACCAATTTAAAAAGAAGGCATTGTAAAAAAGGTAAACCATTTCATAATGTAAAGAAATCAAGGTCGATGGGAACTGACATAAGAGAGAGCGCTATACATACCTCCCAGACAACCATGGCGTCCTGGTTGGTACCCTTCTTCCCCTGTCGTGTGAACATGCAAGACAAATTACCCACTCCATTTCCTATTATCCTACCATGAACCTCCTCTTTCCTCTCTTTTCCATCTCTCCCTTTATGCGCGGCTCCCGCAACCATGGCTGACCGCTGTTCTACTGTCAGGCATGATCCCATCGATAGTGCTCGCACAATATCCTGTAGGCAGTCAAGGCAGCCACTGCATCCACCACTTGATGGCGCCGCCATCATCACCCCTGCCGTCGTCGCTATCGCCACCGTGTTGCCTTGATTAAAATCAACTTCAACCTTTCCTCCACAACAATTGTTGCCCAATATCCCCTCCCTACATTAGCCTAATATGAGCAAGTCTAAGCAATAGTGCTCCCTTTCAGGATCACATAATTGGTAGGATATGGAGGAGAAACAACCTATATACATAGAAGACATTTGGGGGCAGTGGTGGTAAGAGAAAAAGGAAAATTGTAGGACAGGGACTAGACAAGAATAGGGTGGTAGTGCATATGACGGGGAAAACGGGATGGAAAATAGTACGAGGGGCATGGTGGAACAAGAGGTTGTGCGTGGTTTGGGTGACACATGCTTTATTTCTGCATTGTGTTTCAACATTGCGTTGGTTAAGTTTGAAGTTGACCATTTCATCAAGAAAATACCATAATTTTTATATGTTTTTGATACATTCTTGTGCCCTTGTGCATCATTTTGTGGTATATTACTTGGAACTTGATTGAAATCTGAGATTAAATTGTAAATGTCCTAAAATAAAGTAGCACACAACATTGTGTACTAAGATATAACTAAAATTCCTCTTGTCAGGAGGTTTCAACTCCGGCAATCGAGATCAGCGTATCACGCATAGGGAATCAGATGGGTAGCACATGGGACATAGATTTATACTAGTTCACATATATGGTACCCTACGTCCAGTTTGGAGTAGATCTCTTATCTCGTATGTGTTGACGGTTCTTAAGTACCACTTTTACCGTTAATAAAAGCAACCAACGGGCAAGATCCAACATAGTGGTAGCGCTTAATTCTAGCAAATTCCATAGGTGTTAGTCTTTATTTGCATGTAGGTGGCAATGTAGAGAAATACTAGAAGAACAACAAAGATCCATACTCTCGTCCAATCAGAGCTTGCCGCGCACACATACACATGGATCAAAAGGGAGAACCCATTTCTATCTAGTGGAACTCCAAGGTCCCAATACTATTCATGACCAGGGTCCACAAGGGAACCTCCCTACCAAATTCAGGCCCAATCGGCCTCAAAAGGGATCAGCCAATCCTAGGACTAGGGAGGGATCGACCAATCCTCCACTGATCCCAATCGAGCCCAAACTTTGTCAGATTCCTCTCCACTGCCTCTAGGACGCATCCAAGGTGGTGAAGCCTATGGCAGAACCGTCCAAAATAACACGCTTTCGGAGGCGCTCATCTTCCACTAGACACTAAGCACCCCGAAAGTTAGCTACACCGGATAGTTCCATCGAGAACACCCCAAGGGAGAACTCGAAACAATCCAAGTTTTACATCCATAATCCAATAATGAGTACGAGCTTATAATACTTAGTCTATTTCATACAACAAGAGTTCTAGGAAATTATTTATTACAATACCAGAGTTTAGAGTGCGATAATTAAACAGCAGAACGAAAATAAACATCTAGCAGAAACGATACAAGGATCCATCTGTGCCCACCAGAAGAATCCTCCACATAAGAGCTACTCCTCAAGCTGCACCTGCAACAGGGGTAAAATAAACCCTGAGTACACAATGTACTCGCAAGACTTACCTGACTAGTGGAAATAGTTTTTCAACTCTCAAGAATATGATAGGCAATATGGGTTTGTTGTTTTCTTTTTGTTTGCGAAAAGCATTACTAGAAGTATGTACTTAAGATCAAGTTTAATTAGCAGTCATGATTACTTCATTAGCTAACCATTCTAGGTAAGCACCTGTTCTACTTTCAAGCAAGGGTTAAGCAATTAGAACCATTTCACCATCTTTCATCTTCCTGTTCTTACTACGGAGCTAGACCATAGCCAAGTCGTTCCGTCTCATGGAAATGGTGATTCACGAACCAATGTATCCTAGCTGGGTACCCCGAAACACATGCCCTGTTTGTATCCTAGGCACAAACAAGACCAATCCATTCCACTCCTATCATGGGGTCTAGGTCCCTGTCCAAACATGGACTCCAAGCCCCCACACTTGAGACCCGGTCTCAGTATGGTGCTTAGACCTCCACCTTTCCCCACCTCCAATCAGTTGGTCCGAAAAGAGCTAGAACCCATGACAAGAGTGTAACGAGCCTTCCCACTCCCATAAGCAAGTATGTGCTCAGGATAATAAGTCTATGACCTGACTACCATCCACAGCAACGGACGGTCCTTAATCGACACGAACAAGGAAAATAGTGTACCCAAGCTAAGCCCCATTGGTCGCGGGACAGAACCTGTTACACCCACCAATACCCATACCATATCTCTGCCCTATCTCCATTTTTCCTTTCATCATCTTATTATGAGAGTAATAATAATCCCCTATTGTGAGCAACGGTAGGTTACTCACGATACCGATGACCTAAGCATAACATCTACTCGAACCTGCACTAGTAAGACTCTTAGGATAGGTATATCTATGCATGTGGTTTTCATAAAATTCCTGTAACATAAATGCACAACACACATATATATATATACGATGAATTACAAAATAGAGGTTATGCACCGGGGCTTGCCTTGGGCAGGTGCGGTGTCAGCTAAGTCAGTTAGTGGTGGCTTTGGGACCTCCTCCTACACAAGAATCTCCTCCTCATACTCTTCGATGATCTCCTTGAACTCATGATCACCGGTGGTCACGATCTTCGCCAACTCGTTCTCTACATGCATGCGATGATGATGCAACACTTAGCATTTAGACAACAGTAACTCTTAAACTAAGAATGCACATACCAAGCTACTAAACTAGCTCTAATTACTAAGATACTAAGCTAACTATCATGTTCATCAAGCAAGGTGTTGGATTCAACTAACAAACACTCGGTTTTGCAATTTAAGGGTATATCTTTATTTCTACTAATAATTTAATGTATATTGAAACAAAGAGCATTTAACTACCCTAATGCTTAGTCTATTCTAAGGCTACAAAAATTATAGTGAGCACATAATAATACAATGAAGCTACTATAAAATTTTTAGGACTAAAGATATCACAAATTTACCACAAAAATTCCTACAATAATTAACTTAATATTATTAAGCATTCTGAAATGATTTAATAGCTCCTAATGTCAACACGTATAAACATGAACTAAATACACCAACTGATAGAGCACAATTTTAGGAACCTAACAAAATTTACTTTACAATTTTTGGACACCTACATAATTTTATATGATTTACCAAAGATCAACTAAAAAATTAAATTAGAAAACCATTGCTAATTCCTTATGAAAAAAGAAACTAAATCTCCGGCATGGCCCACACGCGAGGCTAGCGCGACATAGCACACGCGCAGTGGTCTCGCTAGTGTGGCCCACGCGAGGCCGACCCGCTCGTGAGGCGGCTCGCGGCGAGGGAGTCCCGCAGCGTTGGTGATTTTGCAAAAGAGACCTCGAACTCCTGCCAATTTATAACTAAGTACTAACACTATTTTCTGCTCTCTCAGACCTTCTCACTTAACCCCCTGACTTTTTTCCCTAATTCACCCGTGCGCACCCCAGCGACTCAGCACACGACGGTGCGGTGGGCGATGACACGGCATGACCGTGTCGGCCACTAGAGGCTCGTGCTGGCCGTCAGTCCAACCGCCGACACCAAGCATCAATGCGGGGCGGTGGGACACGCTAGAGCGAGCTGCAGCAATGCGCGACCATCTACAGTGGTGGCGCAGCTGCCCCGGCAATCTAGAGCACCTAAGAACCTAACTAGCTAGCGAGGGAGCATTAGTAGACTACCGAGGACCTAGTCGAGGTGACAGTTGGGGTGGAGGATGGCGGAGGAGGTGTGGCCACATGTGGCCGAGCCGTGCGGTGGCGCACCATGGTGGCGCGGTCATGCCAGTGGCAACGGCGACCCGGTAGCGGTTCCACTAGTGTAGGTGAATTGGCTCAGGCGGGATGGTAGGAGGGCTGCCCTCGTCCACGGCCGGACACGGCCTTATTGGCACGGTAGTGGGAAAATGCCAAATTGGAGCTCGACTGGGCGCCATTCAAGGCGGGGTGGGGTCGGGCAGTAAGAGGACTTGATGGCAGAGACACAGGTGCATGGAATTGTGAGGAGATGACCACTCCCTGGTCAATTGTCATGAAGTATTCTTATGTTGTTTATGGGTTCATCACTCTTAATTGAGTGCTTTAGTCTATCATGAAAGGATAAAGTAGTAATACATATCATAGACGTGGTCTCTAAGCTAGGGGTTACCTTTGTTTGCCTTGTGCTCAAGGGGTAGGCGACCGGTGGTGTTCTTCCTATCCATCCTTTATAACCCCCCAAGTTCAAGTACAGCATAGAGTAAAAGGCCAGATATGACGTAGCAACCACTAAGTCGATGTCGGTGCCCAAAGTAGAAAACATAAGAGTTTTCCTTGCTCCATCATTATCTTAAGCTATAGATGTCTTCTCTACCTTGCCTATCCTACCCCTTGCTATCTTTAGGATGAGCTTCTTTCCTTCTTAGTACACTAACATTCCTAGTGGATTCAATAACCTAGGAATACTCCCAACAGGCTTTTTGGCGTCATTGCTGAGGAATGGTAGATGTATTAATCTGGAACCGAGTTCATCCATTTTTCTTTTTGTTTTCTTTTTGATCACCTACCAAGAGGCAATCTAGAGTTATCTTTCCCTTTACCAATACCACATCATGTTTGTTTTGAATCATCAAATCTCTAGTGCTTTCATTGGGTAGCTCCTTGACCCTGAACTGATGTTTTTATTCTACCTTCATAGTAGATGTATGTTAAATGGGACCAACAGATCCATATGTTTGTTTATGCCATTGGGTATGGCCGGCAGTTGGTTCATGCTATAAGAAAAATCCAAGCCTAGAGATCCATGCATATCCCTCCATTTGAGTTTGAATTTCAATTTCAAAACCACAACATATTTGTTTGA